TTACAAACTAATGAGTGTATATTACAAATAAGTAAATTACGTACACAAAAATTCGGTCACAGTATAAAAAACTTTGTCCAATAAAAATATTTTGAGTTCTTTTTTCAAATTCTATTTCCCTAGTACAATTTCTTACTGAACTTGGCCCAATACAGTTTGGCGAAGAACTGGTAATATTCAATCTGGCTAAAGGTATAGGCAAGTGGTTCTTTTGTCTTGTATTGATGTTGTGTGTGTTATAATTCTTTGGGATTCCTTTCCTGTTTCTGAAGACAAATAAACATATCTCAAAAATAAATAATCCAGTCAGAGGTAAAATGTTCAGTTTTTTGAAAAGATCTCTGCAAGCACCTTATAATCCGGTTAATCTAGACATTGGAAGGTACATAAATTTACAACAAGCTGCAAACGCATGTAATTGTTCAAAACATAGTTAAAAATAAGATTTCAAAATTCCGAATGATTGCGATGCCTGGAAAAAAATTTATTCGAGCTCAAAGGTCAAAAATCTCGAAAAAAATAGGTTTTTCGCGATTTTCAGGAAAACGGTGAGTTTTATCATAAAATAACTTCAGATAAAAATTGTAGATACTGAAATTCTCTACAAAAAATTTTCAAATCCTTTTTTCTCTAAGAGCCATCGTTTCTGAGATACGACGAGTCAAAAAATTGTAAAAGTTGTAATCGTCATTATATGCATACATTATATGCATATATGTATACATCTCTGAAGTTGTAATTTGAGTAAATACCTATATTCTCCTACTGGTATACATAAGTATAAATATGAGAATATCAGGTAGAAACATTCAGAATTATTTTAGATAAATACGTTCAGTATGTACGTAGACATTTTGGTGCCAGAATTATGGCCGTATTTGATGGCTATGATGATTGCACGAGAAATATCAAAGCTGCAGAACAATGTCGTCAAACTTTAGCAACATCTTCATCTTCCGATATTCTATTTGCTGAACTTATGACAGTTCCTACCAGTCAACAGAAATTTCTTGCAAATACTCACAACAAATCTCGGTTCATTTCATTGTTGAAGGATAAGTTTATTGGCGAAAATATATTGGTTAAACAGGCTAATAACGATGCCGACGTACTGATTATTGAAACAGCTATAGAGCNATGGAAGAGGGAGAAATATGTTATTTTCAGTGTATCGAAACTAGTTATATTTCTCAACTGACGCAGTAAAAAAAGAGTTTTAGATAATTTTTTACTCAATTGGTAAATATGACAGGTCCAAGTGAGACTACTATCGACAACTACCCCAAGTAATGTAACGCTGTTTGCACTTGATGTAGCGGCAGAGCTTGCTGAAAACTGTAACTGTTGCATTTTGTTTGTATTCAATTTGAGTCTTATTGACTTCCTTTGATATTCTACATAGTTCAATAGAATTTTTGTCAGAGTGAGTAAACGTACTGTCATCGGTAAACAAAACAGATTTATATGCATGCATGAAGTTACTAATGTCATTCACGTAAATTATGAATAGAAGTGGTCCTAATACTGATCCTTGGGGAACACTATGTTTAACGAGTTTTAAACTCGGAGCACTGTTCCGAACCACAAAAATTCACAGACTCCAGCAACTTTTGATGCTTTATAAAGCTCAGATCAGACTTTCTTTGGAGTATTGTTTCCATGTATGGAGGTCTACCCCCAAACATTCCCTGAAGCTGCCATCTTGCCTGATGGGAGACGCTAACATCAGGTGCAACCTTGATAGCCTGGAACATCCAAGAAAGGTTGAAGATTTGTCTTTCTTCTATAGATACTTTCACAGAAAGTGTTCAAGTGACTTGTCACATTTGATTCCACCGAGAGCGGTACATATCAGGAATACGCTTGTGTTTTTCCTTGAAAAAATACGCTGCTTGCGAGAAGCAATACGAAAGAAACATCTGGTGTTTTGGAAAACAATCCATGGCTTTTACATTACGATAATGCACCTCCTCACTCATAATTGCTTGTTAGTAATTTTTTAACCAAAAACTACACCATAATCATGCTTCAGTCACCGTATTCACCAGATCTGCTTCCGCGACTATTTTCAGAACTGCTTCGAGGATTGGAAAAAGCGCTGGCAAAAGTGTATAATATCTGAGAGGAACTACTTTGAAGGGGATAGAATAGAAATTGATGGATAAATAAATATTTTTTGAGAAAAAAGAGATTTCGTGTATGAGTGAGTTCCCTCTGAAATACTGTCCATGCCAATGTTGGACACGAAAGCGTAAAATTAGTATGGCATTCGCCTGCAAATAAAGGTCCAAAAGTTAAAAACAATATTTATTTACGTTCTACAGTTGATCAAAGTGGGAACCATTGTTTATTTTGGAAAAAAATGATTTGATTTCTTTGTCGATTCCATAGAGGATAGGGATTATACCCATGCTTATTTACAAAGATCTGAGTGTCTCAACTTCCGTACAAAGGTTGATGTATTGAATTTGTGAAAGAACAAAATTAGGCAGTATCTCAGATAAACTATGTCACTCGAAAATTGTTGCACAATACATACTAAAAACTCGCTGAAAAATGTACTGGATGAATATCAATTTAATTTCCCATGTGCATCATTATGCCATTATATAATGATGGATATTATATAAATTACATACACTTTGTTCCGATGTTATGTTTGATGAAGGGGATTATAAAAGTGTGAAATTGCTCAATTAACGTCGAGAAAATCTCAGGCTCCACTTAATACAATTAACGATTTCCAACGAAACAATCATTTGTTATCCTTATTGGGCAAATGTCATTATCACCGCTGTACACTATCATCTGATTAACCATTCGTATAATACGCTAATATTTTGCAAAATTATAGCGTGTGTTTCAAGTAATAGAAATGTTCATTTTATGAGAGTTACTGAAAATGTTCATTAGGTTGTTTCAAATTTTTTTCATGTTTTATAGCACAAGTGTATCATATCTGAGGGGAACTACTTTAAAGGAAACGAGATAAAACTTGATGTATGAATAAAAATTTTTTGAGAAAAAAGAAAACTCGTCTTATAATGGACTGAAGTGTATTTTTTCAATCAGATGCCACATAATTTACAGTATCAATATGGAAGAAGCGAATGAAGAATTATTTTTTCATTATTTATATCAACAATCAATGTTAGCCTGATACGTCTTTCCAGTATTTCATTCCATAAATCTACATATTTTTCTTTCAGATCAAGTTCTGAATTTCACTAAAGCCAATCCTTATTTTCAACATAAGTTTCAAACCTCAGTTACTTTGAGTAATCTTTCAAAAAAGTAATACGTAGCAAAATCGCCGATATGCATTTGATTCATAACAATTTGCTATCTTTCATTGATTACTGTTCGATTCGTAAACGCAAAATTTGCAAAAATTCACAGATTTATCTCAAAAAGCAGCTATATATATATACGTGGGATTCTATGAATATCTTTACTTATTGGCCGTTAAGGAAAGTGGTCAACATGTGGTCAAGTGTCATATTGGGCTTATTTGGTGAGTTTCTCTTCATTTTTCGATCTTCCTTCAGTATTTAACAGCTATCAAACTTTGTTCTATTGATTTTTGGAAATAAATTTTTTATCGGGGATGAAAAAACCTGAAATATGTGAATAGGAAACTTCATTTTACTTTTATGAAAGCATCGCATCTTTTTTTGGTTATTTTAAATGATGAGAGAGATAGATAGACAATCTGTTTTTCCGTTAACCCGCTGTCGCACTCCTACGAACGACAACCCTCAGAAGTCGAAACTTGTGAGAGGTAAGGATTAACAAGGTCTTACCTTTTAACGTCTGATTCAACAATATTGGACGATATCTTTTTACATGGATTCTCGTTATGACTGGACCAAATCAACGAGTTGTCTGACTGGATTCCCAGATTTACAGAACTTCCAGTTTGTTATGACTGGAGACAATATAATGTATTCGACTTTTCACTGTATTCAGTTCAAGATTATTATTAGTGTACCATATTTATGCTTCATCTTCAATTTGGTTGAATTGAAATTTGGGATAATGAAATTAACGCATAAATACTTTATTTTGAAGTAAAATTGACATTAGAATAGCCTAGACGATATTTCACGCCGAACATTTTCGAACAGAGTAACGTCAATATCTCTACAAATATTTATAATTCTCTGCCGTATATCCAATATTGAAGTAGGTTCAGTTTCGTACACCTTCTGCTTCAAATAGCCCCATAAAAAAAGTCCAAAAGTGTCAAATCTGGCGAGCAGGCTGGCCATTCTGTAGGACCTCGATGGCCAATCCAACGACCGGGAAAAGTAGTATCCAAATAGTTTCTTACTTTTCTGGTGTAATGTGGTGGTGCTCCATCTTGTTGGAATACAATATCCATATCAAATTCATTAGGATTCGCTTCGACGATTTCAGTGATGAGAGGGTCGACAGTAGTTTCCAGCATATTCAAATACAGTTCGCCTGTTAAATTCTGATCAATAAATAGAGGTCCTACAGAGATCCTGCCCAAACGTTAATTTTTTCTGGATATTGGGTATGTGTTTCCCGGAAAACGTGAGGTTTGGTGTAACTCCAATAACGGCTGTCTGTGAACATTGCCGTTTCAAAAAATGTACATTCGTCGCTGAAACAAATATTGTGGAGATAGGTAGGATGCATTGCAGTGGTTTATGTCATGATTTCGAAGAATTCTGTTCTTCGATCTGAGTCATTTTCAGTTAATTGGTGTACCATTTTAATTTTGTATGTATGATACCTATTTCTGTTCAAAAGTCTCCTCACAGTAGAAGGAGACACCTCACAAACATTTGTTGTGAAGTATTCGTCAGGAGCTTCAAAAAGATGTGTCACAAGACCCCCTTTTCTATTTAATTTTTTTCCCAGATGGCGCCAGTCGCCATCTTGACAGTTTCATCTGTCAATTTCACTTCAAAATAAAGTATTCATGCATTAATTTCATTATGCCAAATTTAAATTTTTTGAGTTGACCCGTTCAAATAAATAAATGGGGGGGACATTGAAGAATTGCACCTATATAGATCCGTGCGGTACTCCACGATGTTTTTAATGTACTTTTTTATTTTCCGAAGACCTTCGAAAGACATATTGATTGGAGTACAAGAAATAAATGGATTCCAAATATTTCGATAATCTGCTCTCTCAAGGATTTTGGATAGAAATGTCATCATCTTTTTTTACTTTTTTAAAAATTGACAAAACCTTCAACTTTCCATAGCCGTTTGAAAGATAGAAGTGGTGTGTAGTTGCCCAATATAAATAAAATAGAAAACTCTGCAGGTTCACTACTATTATCGAGACTAATTATTCTGTTCGCGAGATTAGCTGCCTGATCTCGATTACTAATTTTCAAAATTTGATTAAATAAGGTTTCAACAATACCTCCCAAGTTACATTTCGATCACTCCTAGTAAACATCAAGGCCAACAGTCATCAAAATAAAATTTATCTCCAAGTGGAAAAGGGGGATTTCCATCACTATCAATTTGCAATTGAGATTTTAGTTTTCAAGGTTATTTCTACTTTGAGTGAGAAATGAAATTGACGGAAATACTATTACCGCATTTGTTGAATAAAATCAACATTCATCTAACCGTCTAGCTGATAGGCCAGAAAGAAATGTGTGACTGGAATTGAATATGTATAAACAATTATTCACAGTCAAAGTTTCATCTGTCAATTTCACTTCAAAATAAAGTTTTCATGCATTAATTTCATCATTCCAAATTTCAATTTCTTGAGTTGACCCGTTCCAAAATGAAAGGTGGGAGACCCTAAAGAAATGCACTGTAGGTAGGTACAGGCGAAATTCAACATTTCTCAAGGACAAAACACAAGCTCTACAGGAAAATGCTTCTGGAGCTTTAAGAGCGGTGCCTGTAGATGGTCAATTTCGGGGCTCACGAGATGACTGTTTTTGGGAAAGAAATATTATGCCTAACTACTTCTCCATCTTTATACAAAAAAAATTGGGAATCTTCCAAAGAAAGGAAAGGAGTAATCTTTTTGGAAAAATCAACTGTAAACAAAGGTGTATATATATCATGCAGAGAAGTAAGTTTCAGACACAACTGGAAGGAAAGTCCTTTCGAAACATCTACTTTCATACAATAAACACTGAATTATAAAAAAAAACTTTTCTCTGTTTGTATTCCAAACATACGTTATGGAGTTGAATCCGATATCATTCACAGAATTGCTACACAATATTGCATATGAAAGAGGTAAAATTTCATTCACATGGAACAGTGTCATCCTCACTATTAGACATCTGTTGTTTCTGCGTCCACTGATGCTTTATCGCCTCGTCAGCACCAAATATGGTTAAAATTATAAGAATAAGCACTCAAATCATTCATAAAATTATGACTTTATATCACGAATGAGTTGAATCCACTCATGTCGTCAACGGCAGTACGTAATGACATTCATTCGCTTATTTGATTCATTCCCAGCCATAGGAGTATCTTTTCAGGAAAAATGAATTTTCGGGAAAGTAAGGTTTTGGCTTTCTACTTCTCCATCCTCATACAAAAAATTAAACTGTTACTTCTTCACTGTAGTCAAAACATATCCTGTTTCAAAAGAAGGTTTCGTGTATGCAGTCAAGATACGATGAAAGAACAACTCAGTAGCACTTGTGCTGAGTTAAACTTCGCCCTTTTGTTATTTCAGCAACTAGCTCTGTAATTCATCTAAATATTTGTATGTAACTACAGCTGAGAAACAATGAAGACGATTATTATTATCATTAAAACAGTCTAGCATTAACGAAGAATAACACTCCGAAACAGTTCTGTAGATGATCACTATATTAATTTCAATGTCTGTCATAGTATCAGCCATGAAAATAATCACTTTCCGACAAGCATTTGCCAGATCTTACCGTGTAGGGACATTGTGAGAGATACATTTGGTAACTTGTTCTGGGATTCTGTTGAAGATTTTAAGACACGAGAAATATATCAAAACTGTTCATTTTAGACTTGTTTTCTTTCCAGTGGGCATAACCCTAGCTTCAAACACCCCAGGATGGAAAGATAATACCGAATACGTCTATAAAGTACGCGGTCGCACTTTAACAGCTATCGAAGAAATCTCCAAACATCACTCTGGTATCTTCCTGAAAGCCACCATTAGAATCCAAACTAGACCCGATGGAAAAATTCAAGGAGTCATCTCCGAACCGGAATACAGCCAGATCCACTCGCAGTTACCCGAGTGCTGGAAAACTCACATCCCTGACTCAGAACTCACCTGGAAACCCCTGGATCTCAGCGGTAAACCTTTCCAGGCTGAGCTGAAGTATGGAGTTATCACTGACCTCATCGTCAGTGAAGACGTTCCTAACTGGGAAGCCAACATTCTCAAGGGTATCATGAGCCAGTTCCAACTGAACACCAAAGAAGCCATCTCCGAATCTTCCCAGTCCAAAAACCGGTTCGAACCAACGGTATTCAGTGTGATGGAAGACACAATCACTGGCAACAGTGACACCTTGTACGAGGTCAAAATTAAACCTAGATTCATGTTCGAGTCGAGACCTTGGGAAATCCGCATGCTACAGAAGGACGGAGACATTATAGAAATCGTGAAGGACAAGGACTTCAACAACAGCATTGAACTACCCTCGTACTTCTACGGTTTCGCTAGGTTAGACAACTCGAACCCAGCTACCAACCAGATGGGAGAATTCTTCATTAGGCACTCCATCAGTCGTGCTGTTCTCACAGGAAACCCGGACAGATACATGCTCCATAATTCCTACACCGTCAACGAAATCATGGTCAACCCCACTTTGAACGACAATAAGAAAGCTTCTGTAGTGAGTGTGATGAACGTCACCCTGGAGGAAGTTAGATCTCACTTTGAAATTCTTGAGGAAGTGGCCGACCCTGTACGTCTCGGCAATTTGGTGTACGCTTACGAAAAACCATTTACACAGTCAGAAGTCCGTGAGAAACGGCCATACAATCTGTTCTCTGATGAACCAGAGTATAGCACTAAAGTTAGGGCACCGACGAGAAGGCTCATCCGTTCCATCTACGAGGACAGCCAGGATTTCTCAGAAGAATCCTACAAACAAGACGAACCCTCCATGAGGCAGCCACCTGAGAGCCCTTTCTTGCCTTTCACTACGGGATTCAAAGGAAAGTCCATCAAATACAGGATTGACATCGTCTACAGCGTGCAGGAGTTAGCACGACAAATTGCCAGGGAAATGGAAGATGTGAAAAAGATGATTGAAAAGAGCTCTACCAGCAAATTCGTCACACTGGCTTCCCTCATTCGTATCATGAACGAAGATGAACTTAAGAAAACTGTTAACGCTTTGTACACCAACGTTGAAGAAGGACTGAAACGTGATACCTGGGTTGTCTTCCTCCATGCCGTAGCAGAAGCAGGAACCGCACCAGCGTTCCTTACTATCCAGAGCTTAATTAAATCTGATAAAATCCAAGGAAGCCAAGCAAGTCATGTTGTGAGCACCATGGGCAAGTCCGTTCGTACGCCATCTTCTCAGTATATGAAGGCTTACTTCGAGCTGATTAAGAGCCCAAAAGTTCGGGACCAATCACCATTGAACGCTACAGCAATCTTGAGTTACACTGATTTGGTGCGCAAAGTCTACTTCGATGAGGCCTACTACAGAAAGCAGTTCCCGCAGAAGAGCTTTGTTGGTTTCCACAATAAAGAAGGTATCCGTTACATCAGGGAGACCGTGATTCCTTATCTAACCAAGCAGTTGCACGAATCCATCGAAAAAGCCGATACCGAGAAGATTCACACTTACATCCGCGCTCTTGGAAACGTAGCAGATCTGAAAATTTTAGAAGCTTTCAAAGACTACCTGGAAGGCAAGAAGCAGGCTTCTCAGTTCCAAAGACTTTTGATGGTGGTGGCTTTGGACGAGCTGGTGAAACTTCATCCTAGAGAAATTTCCCAAGTCCTTTTCTCGATCTACTCGAATTTGGGGGAGACCAAGGAACTGCGAACCGCTGCAGCTTACCTGATCATTAATCGAGATATCACGGTAGAGGCTCTCGAACATATGGCGGCTTATACAAGGATTGATACCAACGATTATGTGAATGCGGCTGTCAAAGCATCGATCTTGAGAGCGGCCGAACTGAAAGATCCAGAATTCCATAATCTGTAAGTTGATTTTTTCATTATATATATATATATATTCCCTGGAAGTGCTCCTGGCGAACCTTTGATATATTTTGAGAATATTCCTTGGGAATATTCTTGGAATATCTTATAATATTCTTAGAATATGTAAGGTATATTCTATTAAGAATATTCCAGGAATAGAACCCGAGGAATATTCATAAAATATTCAGGATATTCTTAGTTTATTGTAGGAATATACAATAGAGAAACACCATAGAATATTCTTTAAATATATTTTATGAATATTCTAGGAATATTTGGAATATTCCAAGAATGTGACGAGTAACCGCTATTAGGCATGTATATATTGCATTTTGATACAAGATTCACACAAGTAATAAAACACATAATATTCATAAACAAATATATTTTAAAAACAATATACACTGAAATATTTGACGT